AAATATAACACTGTATATGGAAAGCATCGTCAATGCACCGTGATGCACTGAGATATCGAATTGAACCGAATCAATGGCATGATAATCGTAACCGAATCGAACCGTGAGACCAGTATAGGTTCACACCTCTATAAAACAATACTGAGGCATTTCAAATGCTGAGTAGCAAGCTTATTGACTGCCGAGGCGAGAGCAACCAATGTCCCGCGCCCTATAGTTGATGACTTGGGAGCAGATTAGCAGATACATGACCTATATCATATACAGTATAATGTAAATGGGACTTTTTTTTACTCCCAGCATTATAAGGACTTTGTAGAAATATTTTGAAGACAATATGACTATGCATGTTTCTACAAAGTAAGGTCCAATAGTTGACTAAATCTCAAAGCCTCTTGAGTTTACATTTACGCTTTGTCCTAAGCAACATTGGATTCAAGTTTCACGCTTTATATTTCCATGTTAGTTAAAGCTGTTATAACTGCATACAGAGGCAATAATGCTCATAGTTTTGAAATTAAGTGTTCAGTAAACAGATGCATGTGGTGTGGTGAGTGTCCAGATATTTTAGCCTTGTGGTGTGCTAAAAAATAAATGAATAATAAAAGATAGACTAGTGAACTGTTGCACAAACTTACCACAGTGTTCCAAAACAGATTATATACTAATGAAAACATTTACATTTCCAACTGTAATCTTCCGAAAAGTTGTTGTTCATTGTGGTAAATGTGTTTTTTAAGTGGTTCTTTGACTGCACTTGTGGTGATGTAAAAAAAAAAAAGTTGAATGAAAATTAATTAATTTAATTATTTTATTTTTTTTTCTGCCATATAAAGTTTTGGATTGGTCAAATGTTTTCACATTTTATGGTTTCTAGATTAAATATATTTTTGAATGTCGACAATATATTAAAAGCAAGAACTAATTTTATTTTTACACAATAATAATAATAATAGTAATAATAATAATAATAATAATAATAATAATAATAATAATAATAATGATGATGATACTACTACTACTACTACTACTACTACTACTACTGATAATAATAATAATAATAATAATAATAATAATAATAATGATGATAATGATAATAGTAATAATAATAACAATAATAGTAATAATAATAATAATAATAATAATAATAATAATAATAATAATGATGATGATACTACTACTACTACTACTACTACTACTACTACTGATAATAATAATAATAATAATAATAATAATAATAATAATAATAATGATGATAATGATAATAGTAATAATAATAACAATAATAGTAATAATAATAATAATAATGAAAACATAATATACAATTGACAATTTCAATTTATTTTATTATTTATGTGTTTGATTTTCAAATTTATCCTAAAAATTAGGTAACATTATAATAACAGTTTATATCTCATATCAACTGGAAGTCATAAACATTTCAAAAGGGATCACTGATATTTACATATTAACTAGTATGAATAGATTATAGTTGTTAATTAAATATTATGACACTAATATGTCCCCTACCAATCTTAAACATACCCTGTTACACTTAAAACAATATACTTTTATGCAAAGTTTCAATTATTTAGATGTACTTACAAACAAAATCTTATTCTACGTCCATAATTCTACCCAATACCTAAACTCTACTACTACCTTAAAACTATTAATAAGCATCAAATTACGAGTTTATTGAGAAAAAGTAATAGTAATAGCAGGAAGTTTACCTTATTTGACTAATTCCATCAATGCCAGTAAAAACAATTAAAAAAAAAAAAAACTAATTTATCATAAATGAAATGAATTGTGTATTAAATGATAAAAATATTGAATCACGGTATGGATTTGTGTCTTAAATGGCAAAAAAGCAATCAATGGCATGAAAAGCCTTTCATTTGTTCTTGATTTAGATATAAGGACTAGAAAAAAATGTATAACCACCTTAGGTTTTAAAAAACCTGTACAATGAAGGGCTCTTGAAGCCTATAGTTGCTCAGTACTTCATGACCACAGCCTGCTTTCTCTCTGTCACACAGAGGAAGATCAAGGTTATTGAATTTCGCAGCCTGTGTATGTATTTATTCCACAATTTTACTTGTTTACCCCTAAGGAGATGTTCATGCGGCTTTTATTTCTTCGCCCACAGCACGGATAGATTTCCGAGGTCGTCTGTTTGGGATTGGATTATACTTGAACGGGTAGTTACTCCATCTGTTGTGTCTGAACGTGGTGAATCTGGACTCTGTCATTCTTACCTTCCACTTTATTACTGCTTTGGTATTCTCAGGACTGCCGTTGTGAGCTCTCTGATTAAAATGAAGAAAATAATAAATAGAAACATGAATGGAACGAGAGAATGAAATCACATCAGCGATAAAGGTGACAGATTTCACCTATTTGAAGAGCTTGGCATTGCTCCAGTGCAGACTGAGGATGAGATAATGCTTTTTCTCTTGAGTTTGACAGAATAGTAGTTTGATCTACGGCCTACTGAGAGAAAACATACAGCAGGAGAGTTATGGATATAGTTTCAGCTTTGAAATCTGATTGGATGAGATGTTTAAAGCTGCTGTGAACAGTATTTGGGAGTAGATGTAGCTACAGATAGCTTAGCTATTAGCATAGCTACATTTTTCAGTAGCTTGGCTGTAGACATACGGCGATATTCAATCATTTCATATATTTTGATAATACCGCACACTGTAAAAAAGCTTTAACAATTAATCGCTGCAAGAAAATTGTATAATATCGTAAGTCATAAAACTTGGACAGTTTAAGTAACAACTGTAGCTTTTCCTTTAGCTAGCCACTTTGTTTTTATTAAGTAACGAGTGTAGTTTAACAGCAGCTACTGTATATTGGTTTCATACATCATGATCATGCATCTCATGCTTATGTTTATTATTTAACATGGTAAATGAACTGTTAAATAAGATTTAGTAACAACAGTTGAAATTCAGTTCAAATAATTTTAGCAGTTGGCACTTAACCTGAAATCAAATAATGTTCGAGGGCTTCAATATATTGTTTTTGCCAAAATAGAGCCATTTTTGTGACCAGGTGAAATTTCATATCACAAAACAAGGAAGAAATCATACCTTTATATAACATCATCAATGGTCTCAAACTCCTCAAGCTTCTTGGAGGGCCACAACTCTGCACAGTGCTTAACAGTTTCTAGTAGTCTTGAACACCTTGATTTGTTGGATCAGCTGTGTTTGATTAGGGTTGGAGTAAAACTGTGCAGAGCTGCGGCCCTCCATGAATCCAGTTCGAGACCCATGTTCTATACAGTGATTAAAGGGTAGATCAGTTAGCATTACTGTATGTACTTCTTTCATTTAAAATGACAGAATGACTTGAACTCGAATTATACATTTCCACAGTGATTAGTGTATTGTCTTTATGTTTGATCAGTTTATCCATTTCTAGCTAATGACGTGTCCCAATTCGCATACATATACTTCGCCCTAAAAATATGCACTTTTTGTGTAAAGGAAAAATTTTGAGTGTGTAACAGAAGAGTATGTACTTTGGGACATACTACCACTTCGTTAACAGATCGTTGTGTTGCTTCTTTTTGAGCTATGTCAATCATCCACATTTCTGTCATATTTTATTTCTTAGTTATTGGAGAAGCAGCAGCAGGTTAATCTCCCATTCACGAGTCTTTCTTGCAAAAATAGTAAACCATCCGGGAACCTTTAACATACAGTACTCTTATCAACATACTATGATTTGAGACATGCTAATTCTATTTTCAAATACTATTTAGGATGGATAGTAGGTGAATTGGGACGCAGCAGTAGTTTTCTGATGTCTTTATTCTGTAATCCCTATGTGGAGTTTATGTGCACATGGGAGCCCTCTATTTTCCCGTATAAATGAAGTAGATGTTACAAAAAACAAACCAAAAAACATTTTTTAAAAATTGGAAACAATACATTTCTCTGAATATACAGGACTTTTTAGTCTCTCAGTAGATGTGTCTGTATTTGTATGTGTGTGTAGTCTTCTTCTTCTTCTTTGTCTTCCTCTTCTTCTTCTGATTATTATTATTATTATTATTATTATTATTATTATTATTAAACATTGACATATATACATCACAGCATATACCAGAAGATATTATGATACAGATGCATAATTTTAGAGTGTATAGAATGCTGTTGAAAAAGCAGTGATTGCTTTGTTTCTTAATTGTGCATCTGGTTTATTGCACAGGATCAGTTCACATGCATGCAACCTTAGTAAAGGCGAGAAGCATAGATTTAATTATGTCTAAATGACATGTGCAAACAAAAATAAATGTGACTGGTCCCTTTACATATCTGTCAAATGGTGTCTTTCTGTCTGAGTGGCCTTTTCCTGGCCACAAAGTGAAATGTAATAGACCCATGTTTAGAAGTGCAGGTATATTTTAGTGCTCTGCTCTGCTTGTTAACTCATCTTAAATAAGAACTGAGCATGGTCAGACAGCTAGTCAGGGATTTCAACATATCATCTTGCTAAATATCCTATGTGTTGGGCAGCAGCAATTAATTTGTATTACAATTCTGTTAAAGGACAAAACGTTAAAATGCTCTGGGTCAATTGGTAAATTTGTCATCACTTTTGTGAAGCATTATTATTAAAAATGTTATTAATGTAATGCTGCTGCTACTACTACTACTACTAATAATAATAATAATAATACTTATTCTACATATTTATTTATTTATTATTATTACTTATTTATTACTACATATTATTATTATTATTTATTATTACTATAACGGAACTTATATTATATATATATTATTATAACTCAACCTAAATATATATTATTATAGCTAAAATTTATATATATATATATATATATATATATATATATATATATATATATATATATATATATATATATATATATATATATATATATATATATATATATATCATTCATGCATCTTCTTTAGCACTGTAGATGATCCCCTGCTGTTTCTGGTTTCTCTCAGGTGTCCGTGGTTGACCAAGGCGGTCTCTCCTGTTGTGCCTCTCTACAATGGCATCGTCTTCCTCTTTGTGTTGGCAAACTTCAGCATGGCCACCTTTATGGATCCTGGAGTCTTTCCTAGAGGTATGATCTGCTTATAATTTAAGTTCCAGGTCATCCGTATCCAATATATCTATCATTTTATTATTAGATACAACAATAGGGTCAGTTCTTAACCATGAAACATTAAAGCTGCAGTCTGTCATTATTTTGGTTAAAAAAGATAAAAAAAATCTTTTATACAATCTATTGGTTAAAAAATGTAACGAATAGTTTTTAGCTAGTAAGTGTTAAAAACTCTCTTAACTTAACGTAATTCATGGTAAGCTTTTAATAATGTTTTTTTTTTTCTTTAGTTTGAGTAGTTTTGGTAGGTTTTTGGCAGGAAATACTAGCTTCCCGCTGTTGGTCTTTGCATCATTACACTACATCTGTATACATACTGAAGGAATCCTGGCTAGCAGGATACAGTGCATCCGGAAAGTATTCATAGCGCTTGATTTTTTTGACGTATTTTTTGTTACAGCCTTATTCCAAAATGGATTAAATTATTTTTTCCGCAAAATTCTACACACAATAGCCCATAATGACAATGGGAAAAAAGATTTTTTGTAAATTGTTGCAAATTTATTACTAATAAAAACCTGAAAAATCACATGTACATAAGTATTCACAGCCTTTGCTCAATACCTTGCTGATTCACCTTTGGCAGCAATTACAGCCTCAATTCTTTTTTATTATGCTGCCACAAGTTTGGCACATCTGTTTTTGGGAATTTTTGCCTATTCCTCTTTGCAGTACCTCTCAAGCTCTATCTAGGATGGATGGGAAGCGACAGTGTACAGCCATTTTCAGATCTCTCCAGAGATACTTAATAGGATTCAGGTCTGGGCTCTGGCTGGGCCACTCAAGGACTTTCACCGAGTTGTTGTGAAGTCACTCCAATGGCAGTGTAGCTGTTCCTGCTGCTAAAAAACATCCTCACAGCATGATGCTGCCACCACCATGCTTTACTGTAGGGATGGTAGTAACCTGGTATTGAGTGGTGCCTGGTTTTATCCAAACGTAACGCCTGGCATTCACTCCAAAGAGTTCAATTTTAGTCTCATCAGACCAGAGAATTTTGTTTCTTGTGGTCTAAGAGTCCATCAGATGCCTTTTGGCAAACTCCAGGCGGGAGTGGCTTCTGTCTGGCCACTCTACCATACAGGCCTGATTGGTGGATTGCTGCACAGATGGTTGTCCTTCTGTAAGTTTCTCTTCTCTCCATAGAAGAATGCTGGAGCTCAGGTTGAGTGATGATCGGTTTTTGATCACCTCCCTGACTAAGGTCTTTCTTCCCCGATCACTCAGCTCAAGGAAGAGTCCTGGTGGTTCCAAACATATTCCACTTACGGATGTTGGAGGCCACTGTGCTCATTGGAACTTCCAGAGCTGCAGAAATTTTTCTGTAACCTTTCCCAGCCTTGTGCCTCGAGACAATCCTGTCTTGGAAGTCTACAGACAATTGGTGTACGCCTTTTCAAATCATGTCCAACCAGCTGCATTTACCACAGATGAACTCCAATTAGGCTGCTAAAACATCTCGAGAATTATCAGTGGAAACAGAATGTACCTGAGCTCAATTTAAAGCTTCACGGCAAAGGCTGTGAATACTTATGTACATGTGATTTTCAGCTTTTTTTTTATTTTTTATAAATTTGCAACAGTTTAAAAAAAATCTTTTTTTCACATTCATTATGGGCTATTGTGTGTAGAATTTTAGGCAAATAAATGAATTTAATCCATTTTGTAATAAGGCTGTAACATAAAAAAAAGTGGAAAAAGTGAAGCTCTATGAATACTTTCCAGATTTACTGTATTTCGAACTGTGATCAAAACTGACTGGAACTACCTGTGCATTTCAACGGAAATAATGCACACTCTCCAGCCAATCACAAACAAGACCATCTACTGTTTGTGGACTTACATAAATATAAAGCACTGAAAGTAGGATAAGATCATAAACTACCCTCACAACAAGTAGCCTAATATGTGAACATAGAGCTGTAAAGAAGAGGCAGCACAATTCGTAGTAGTAATTAAGTGCATTTTATATTAACTGTAGTATTTTTTTTAAATTGTTGCTTTGATTTGTTTATATGGTTCTCATTTTTAAATGGCTTTGGATAAAATCGTCTGGCAAATAATTGAATCTAAATGTAATTTATGATGCCTATAAAACTGCAAGCTAAACGCAATGTTAAACCTTCCTTTTGTTTCCCTCTCAATCTCAGCGGATGAGGACGAAGACAAAGATGACGATTTCCGAGCTCCGCTCTATAAAAACGTGGAGATAAAGGGAATTCAGGTGCGGATGAAATGGTGTGCCACGTGCCACTTCTACAGGCCTCCGCGCTGCTCACACTGCAGCGTCTGTGACAACTGTGTGGAGGTGAGATGCACACACACACACACACACACAGTAGTATAACTAATTATTGCTTCCGCTCACACGCACATGTACTTGTGTTGTCACTGCAGGAGTTTGATCATCACTGCCCGTGGGTGAACAACTGCATTGGCCGAAGGAATTATCGCTATTTCTTCTTGTTCCTGCTGTCTCTGAGTGTTCACATGGTGGGTGTATTTTCCTTCGGCCTGCTGTTTGTGTTACACCACCTAGAGACGCTGAGTGCACTTCACACCACTGTCACGTATCCTTCTGCCAGCAATGATCAAGGCTTCTTTATTTGTCATTAATACATTTTTTGGTGCTTTTTTAACACTGAAAATAGGGTTGTGTGTTTTAATTATTCATTATTTCCAATGGATGTTTCTTTAAAGGCATTTCACTTGGGATACTTTCAAGGTGCTGTATGTAAGTTTTTGACTCTTCATATGTGTTGGCAGATGATAAAGAAAATGCCAATTGAACATACTTGTTCATCTGAAAAACAATGCTGAAGTCAGATATTCTCCTTTAATTATTATTTGAGTTATGGCCTGAACATCTGTCTTTGCTTTGTTCATTTTAACCTGCTCAAAGCCAGATTAGCCAATTATATTTCAGCACCCCGGATTACTATGATAGAAAACCGCATATTTAATTCATTTAGTCAGAAAGGCTCCGAAAGCATGAGTCCGTGACTGAAATACAACATCTGGTGGACAGTAACAGACTCTGAAATGAGAGGCAGATTCAGAGTTCCACATGAGGTTATTAATTAGCAAATAATATAAATATTACAAACGTACATAAGGTGAGCAGATTCTGTGTCCTAACAACACACTTCATGACGAGATTTGCTGTGATCAGCAATTTGGCTGTTTGCACCAGGCGCAACATGACAGATATTTTTAATACAGCCATTCAAAAGCACAGAATATCCACTCACTCAAAAGATTGTAAGGTTTATAGTCTGATTAATGCATATTAACCCTCTTTAACCTCTTTAAATGTAGATGCTGAATCCCTCTCAAGTGTTTAGTTCTAAAGTTTTATTACAAACGGTTTATTTTATTTTCAAGATCTAAGGTTAACTATCTGCTGCTGCTTTCATTAGTATTGCAATAAATGTCATGTAAAATGGAATTCAAACTAACATTGTTAGCATTTAACACTGAATGAAGCACATGAGGTTTTCCTGAGGTGATCAGTGTCATAGTTTTCTGTTGTTCATCTGTGAGAAATAGAAGCCGTTTCTAATATATCAATTCGAGGTGTTGGTTAGGAAAAGAACTCCTTTTAATATGGAAAATATTCCTTTTATCGTGTGCTGTTGCTTTTATTTACAACATGGTTTAAATCTGACAACCTGTCCTCAATCTGACAACCTGCACTTGCATTTCTTTTGATCCAGGAGTGCAATACCTGGTTCAACCACTGAGTGTCAAACTTACAAACTGCACCATTAAATTTGTTAGAAATAACAATATGATTTTATGAACTTTTTATTCGTCCGAGAATCTTAAATAAAATGTTATAATGTTTTGTTATAATGCTTTCATTTGTCAATTTTAGAAATTTGATAATGGCAAGAATTTTTTTGAGTATCTAAACAATTTCTATTATCTTTCAGTATTCAAATATTACAGTTTTAATGTCTTTTTGAGCAAATATTTGCAGCCTTGATGAACAAAGGAGACTTCTTTCTTTTAAAAATAACACATTTGTATTTAATCATAATATAAAAATGTTTCTTTTTTACCATTCAGATTCTGTAACACAGTTCCTATCTAGCTAGCATTGTTTTCTAACTTTTAGCTTAATTTGAGCTGAAGGCAATTTCCCTATATCCATGTTTTTTAAAAAATATTTTTTTTAAATATGTTTTTTTTCTGTTCATTAGCTTTAGTTTATTTCTCAGTTTTAATTTTTATATTAAATAAATAAGTTACCTAAGCAGCATTTCTCATCTCTTTTTAAAAATCATTTATTTCATATTTTCAGTGTAAGTGTTCCATTTATGGCTTTTTATTTTGCAATATTTAATCTAAGTTTTGTGTACCCCAAAATGCACCTTTGATGTTTCAAGCATCGTTTTAGTCCGCCCTTTTTCGCATCATCAACTTATAGAATTTTGCATGCTCATACTCTTGTGTGACCGCGGTATTATTATTGTTAATGGAAAACTAATGATTGCTAATAAAACTAATGATTGCTCCTTATTTTGATTTTATGTACAGAGAGTTCATGCTTTGATATTCTAATGGTCTCATTCATTTCCGTTCTGGCATATTTGCATGCATATTAATAAAAGTAAATGGTGCGAAAAGTGCAGTGTAACCACGACTTAACATTCAAAAAATGTGGCCATGCCCAGAGTTAAATCTCACTGGTCAAAAAAACCCTGCTCACTTTAATGATGTGCATTAAAAATCTAAATAGGCTTTGATTTTGTTACTTTTTTCAGTGAAGGTGTAAATATAAGAGAACATCATGAAATTTAAGTTTAATCTCAGAGTTTAGTCTCCTTGGTTCAAATTACTGCTCCATTAAACTGTGCATTAAAAATCTAAATTGGCTCTGATTGGCTTTGATTTTGTTACTTTGTAGTGATTTTCTCTTACATAAACATCTTTTTTCAGAAAGTTGCCTAAGCAACATTTCTCCTTTTTTTTTTTCTCCACTTTTTTGTCAAAACTCTTTCTTAAAACCCTGCTCCACTTAGCTGTGTATTAAAAATGCAGGTCCCACTTATATTAAATGGCCTTAATTACTATGTACTTGCATCAGAATAAAAGTACAATGTACTTATTGTGTTCATATTGTATTCCACAACACTTCTAGGGCTCTTGAAGTGGGGCGGGGGGAAGTAAGGGATAGTTCTGGGGGTATGGTTAGGTTAAAGGTTGGGTAAAGGTAAGGGATGGGTCAACAGTGTCATTTCAACATGTAATTACAGAAATTAGTTCCCAATGTAATTACAAGTAATCATTCTTAATTTTTATACCAATCCATGCTACTAAAGCTTTCATTTAAATGAAAGTACATAGTAATTAAGGATTGTATGTAATAAGTTGTAAGTAATATGTCACTTAGGGTGCTTTTATCAGCACTTTTAGTCAACATCTGGGTTAGTTTGAAGTTAGAGTATGGTACGTTTAGCTATTGTGAATGCTGTCTTCTGTACTCGGGTGCGCACCCACGAACCGTACCATAGTCCACCTGAAAGAGGTAGTCTGAGGTAGAGCTGTAATCGGGCCATAAAAGTTAGGCCCGATAGGGCCCGAGCCTGACAGAATTTGGCCTGAGCCCGACAAGTACATTTTAATTGTAAGCTTTTTAAAGGCCCGAACCTGTTTACGGTCCAACATTATTCAAATGTGCACATGCACACAGCTCTTTTACCTTTTTTTCACGATTAAGTCGTTTAAATGCATTTTAACATTATTTATTTGAAACAAACATAGGCTATATGCCACTTAGAAGTTGGAACAAAGAAATAAAATAAGTCCTCTGTAACATCGTAACATCTCAGCACTCTAAATAGGCCTAGATACAAACACTTAGCCTTTAAATTGGCCAACACACTAACAAAAATAAGTCTTTCTTAACAAATTAAATTAAAATAAATTCGAAATTATGACGAGTATTTGGCAATAACGAAATTAGGATAAAGGCTCTGTGGGATTTGTTTCGCCACTCATCCCACAATCTGGTCTTAAGGTGACGATGAACCGATAACTGTACAACAACCTTTCATTTTCATAACGTTTATTTGTCTGTGTGTATGTCTGTATATCACCTACCTTGGCGACATGCGGGATTAATCCAGTGCAAACAGTGATAATGCCTGCTTGTCTCCACCAAAAATGACTGCAGACATTGTGTGATGCTCTAAACGTTTTTAATATTTTTTGCTGCAGATAGATGCAAGTGGCTCTCTGTATTTTGGTTTGGTTACAAAAGCAAAAGATTCAGTAAAAGCAGAATGACCATGATACGCGAATGTCTCCATTTTGGCCCTTTGCTTTCGTGGCTGTCACCTCGATGACACAAACGGTGTGAACACAAACTAGCCGAAAAGGTGGAAAGGGGGGACAATCAAGCTTTGGTTCGGACTACGCAATTGAACCCAGTGTGAAAGCACCCTAAATATAAAGTTGGACCAAAATTAGATTTTTTTACTTTGGTACTTTGTTTTTCTGTTAGCGTTGTAGGAGAAATCCACAAAGTAATCAAAGTCACAATATCCTCCTTGACTCTGCTGCTGTCTAGACTTGTAGTAATGTGTGTGACTGGCCTGTTCTTCATACCCGTTATGGGCCTCACTGGATTTCACATGGTTCTCGTAGCCAGAGGACGGACCACGAACGAACAGGTGAACCGCATTACACACCACTTAGTATCTTAAACTGGCCTATGTAACAGCACACTCATAATGGTGGTCACATGTTTGCACACCCACTCAGAATCACCTTGATGTCTTTCCCACTTGATTGCCTTCTGTTGTTCAGGCACGACATCTGTTACAAAGCCTGTTATTTTCATCACACATTACGGTCCTGTGGGTCAAGGACGGTTGTTTTCGACTCTCTCTCTCGGTTTGCTGAGAGTACAATCTCTTTCTCTTTTTTATCAGGTGACAGGAAAGTTCAGAGGAGGAGTGAATCCATTCACTCGAGGATGCGGTGGAAATGTGAAACACGTCTTATGCAGTCCGCTTGCTCCAAGGTAAGAAAAAGAAGCTGGCTTCTGGAATATGTTCTACACATTAAATTCAATTCATCTTTATTTCTATAGCGCTTATACAATTTAGTTTGTGTAAAAGCAGCTAAACATAGAAGTTCTAGTAGATTGAAACTGCATCAGTCCAGTTTTCAGAGTTGAAGTTAAGTTCAGTTCAGTGTGGTTTAATTTTTACTGCTGAAAGTCCAAACACTGAAGAGTAAATCCATCAATGTGCAGCTCCACAAGTCCCAAACCAAGCAAGCCAGTGGCTAGGAACAAACTTTACCAACTGACAAAAGTGAAGGAAAGAAACTTAAGAGGAAGTAGTTTCACGTGGGCATGGCCATTTCTCCTTTGGGCAAGCTTCTTGTGCAGAGCTGCAGTATAGGTGCTGGAGAACGCTGGACATCCATCGTGGAGAAGCTGCAGGTGTGAGTAGTTCACCAGCGGCTGTTCAGGCTGGCCCACAGGACCAATGAGAAGACTTCTCTGTCACTGGAGTCTTTCAGGATTCAGTCTTATGCTCTCCACTCCGCCGCAGCATCTGCTCAGGATACGGCCTGGTCCAGGGTTATGGAGACCTCTAGAACCTCTAAACACACATACAGTACTGATTCATGTCATAGCAAAGTTATTTAAAAACAATGCATGAAAGGGGTGACGCGGTGGCGCATTGTTTAGTTTAGTTTAGTTTATTTGTTTACAGGGTCAATGCACATTAATAAACATTACTGTAAAATGTGCCAGAATTAGCCAAGAATGGCTATTTTTCATCCGTAGACCCTTTACAGAATGTTAAAAAGTCACACCTAAAATAGAAGCACAACATTAAACATTAAATACACTTTCATAAGAAATACAGTTAAAAAAGTAAAGAAAAGAAAAAAAGAAAAAAAAAGAACAGACTGATGGGAGCAGAGGACAAAAAGCCAAAGACAACAGTACAAATGTGTCAAGAATACAGTACTAATGCTGACAATGCTGATTTGTCAATAACCAATTTCTAACATGAGACTGAAAAGAACGAAAAGTGCATGATCTTCTAATTGTGGGTGGGATGGAGTTCCATTCCCTAGCAGCTCTCACTGAAAATACAGATTGACTGAATTTGCTTTTTTTGAGAGGAATAATGCAGTCCCCTCTGTCACCTCCTCTAGTAGTTCGTTGAGCAGTCGTTCTAATATTTATAAACTGATTTAATGGTGAAGTCGGGTTATGTAAAGTCTTAAACATTAAACAGATATGTACATATGTAATTAAATTTTCCCAACTAAGCAGGTTGTATTTCTTTAATATTAAACAATGGTGATATTGAACTGATTTCTTATCAAGGGTTTTTATGGATTGCTTGTATAAAGATTTAAGTGGCTTCAGAGTAGTGATGCTGGCTTGGGACCAAGTGGTAAAACAATAAGTGATGTGAGAAATGATCATGGAGTGATAATAGATTAGAGCAGCCTCACATGACATGACATTGTGTAGCGATCTTGCCTCACAGCAAGAAGGTCACTGGTTTGAGCCTCGGCTGGGTCAGCAGGCATTTCTGTGTGGAGTTTGCATGGTCTCTAGGTGTTTGTGTGGGTTTCAACTGGGTACTCCAGTTTTCCCCTCAAGTCCAAAGACGTGTGGTATAGGTGAATTAGGTAAGCGAAATTGTCCGTAGTGTATGTGTGTGAATGAGTGTGTATGGATGTTTCCCAGTGATGGGTTGCAGCCGGAAGGACATCCGCTGCGTTAAACAAATGCTGGATAAGTAGGCGGTTCATTCCGCTGTAGCAAACCCAGATTAATAAAGGGACTAAGCCTGAAAAGAATATAAATGAATGACTAATGAACAAACGACAAAATCTATAAGCCGACTCACTGCCCGTCCTGCTCAGATGCATATTTTACCATTATGATAGTATTTGCAATTATTCAGTGGGATTTTGGTATCCACAAGCTGAGAACACAGAACTGTATAAAGATGTAGGCACTAAAAAATAATGCCAACATATGCTGGATAAGTTGGTGGGTCATTTTGCTGTGGCGACCCCTGATTAATAAAGGGACTAAGCCGAAAAGAAAGTTAATAAATTAAAACTTCTGTTAAAAAAAAAAAAAAATCTATATTTGGTGTAACCAAACATCCTTTGATTTTAAACCTGCTTTTGTCTTAGGGACACTGTTTTTTAGGTAATTTTGCAGTTAGATTTCTTGAAGTGTATTGGTGATGTTCTGGATTTAGTCTGTCTCTGTTTGTTCTTTTTCTTAATGCTGTGTGAGATCAGATTTCTGTGTGGAGCACTGGCTGCTCAGAGAGTCCCTGTGCAAACTAAAAGGTTTGGAAATGTAAACTGATATTTCCTGCTGACACACTACAACAAAAGATATACAGTAAATAATTGACTTAACCATTTTTGTGTTTGAGAAGTCGAATGAGCTTAGACCTGTGCCAGAAGTGTGTGAAAGTGAGTTGTAATGCTGGCCACGATGTGTTTTCTTGGCTCCTAACATCTGGTTGCTTTGCTCTTGACAGCTGCTTTGCACTGAGTCATACTGAAACAGACGGTTGGGTGTTTAGTTTCACTTTTAATGAATTTACATCAGGATGTGTTATTTTCCATTAGCAATGCAGACAGGATTCGGTGAACGTTATGCTTTGGCACATTCTGTAAAAGACCTGTCGAATGGGATAGCTCACGTAAAAATGAAAATGTTTTCAGCATTTACTTACTCTTAAAGTTGTTCCAAATGTTTGTGTTTGATCTATATTGTTAAACACAAAGGAAAATATTTGGAAGAATGTTGGTTAACTGGTAGCTATTGATTTCAATAGTAGGAAAAAAAATCCTATTGAAGTCAATGGCTACCGGTTGCCAACATTCTTCTAAATGTCTTCTTTTGTGTTCGACAGAGGAAAGAAAACTCAGTAAATGATGTTGGTAAATGGTGACTAAATAAACATTTTTGGATGAACTCTTATTTGAAAAACCATTTAAAAAAACTTAAATGCTTCACTTGTGTGAAAATCAACTTAACAAGTTAATTTGACCATTACTACATTTAATTTATGTTTAAATTCAGTCCATATAAGTTGTTTGTAACCACTTACCTTGGTATTGCAATGACTCATTTTTTAGTGTATGAGACGAATTAAAAGGGTTAAAAAAAATTCACAGCAAAAATAAAATTCTGTGATAATTTACTACCCTAAATCCGAAAAAGCATTCTGTCCCCCAATTAAAAGTCTACTCACCCAAAATTCTGATGCCTCAAAATGCTCATGAACAGATAAAAAAAAATCATATTAACTGAGTGGTTCAATGCTGGTCTTCTGATGAGACATATGAGTCATCACTTTATACAATAGCCATATTAAATTTAGGCATATAATCATTGATCAGCAAACACAAACAGGACATTTTATTTTATTTTATTTTTTATAAATGTTTCGAGGCATCTGAGTTTTGCATAAAATTTCACAGACCTTAAAATATTCTAGTTTGTGTTCTGACGATAAATACACAGCGGAATGAACCGCCAACTTATCCAGCATATGTTTTACACAGCGGATGCTCTTTCAGCTGCAACCCATCACTGGGAAACATCCATACGCACTCATTCACACACATACAGCATGGACATTTTAGCTTGCCCAGTTCCAAACATGTCTTTGGACTTGTGGGGGAAAGCGGAGCACCCGGAGGAAACCCATAGGAACAGCGAGAGAACATGCAAACTCCACAAAAAAAAAGTCAACTCACCCCACCGAGGCTCGAACCAGCGACCCTCTTGCTGTGAGGCGATCATGCCACCCAGTGCACCACCGCGTTGCTGATAAATAAATAAGATGAAATTTATATAATTCAATTAGCCTTAAAGGCGACATGAAACCCCCCTGTTTCACTTCAAGTCTACCTCAGAACTTTTTCAAAAAATGCTTTGAGATGGGCGTGGTGCTCTGCGGGCAGAGGGAGGAGTGGGAGTGGCCGGCAGAGAAGGGGAAAAAGAGTGGAGCGAACAACTGTTGTCAGTCAGCTCACAAAATGAGACAAACTGTGAGGAGACCCATGATTTTATAGTTTACAAGGTTAAAATGCAAAGAAAAAAAAGTGATTTAATGCCCTGCTACATTTGTCATTCGTAATTTCATATACTGTACACATACTCACAATTTGTTATATCATCATAAAGATAATCATTTTTATATAAACGCTATAAATGAGGAGGACTTCTCTTCTCCTCAATCCCAGACACAGTGGATTGCAGTGCAGCAGGTCTTTTGCCCTATCTATTCCAGCCATTAACCCTGCCGGTAATCTGGAGGATTTTAAACATGTGGCGAACACAGCAGAACGGATAAAGGCGATGTGTCTGAATGGTAACAAACTCAACTGTTAAAAGACAAATTCCGCCAATTTTCATACACCTCTCCCGACAAAAATGTTAGCTGCAAACCAACAGCTTTGCTGTATCGACCCTAACAGGATCACAGGGCAACACATGCAACAAACCCTGTGGATCATGGAAACAAACACATACGACCCATGTCTCACCTAGTCATTGGGTCTCCCAGCTTGGCAGGTCTGCTTTGCCTTCAGAAAGCATGTCCTCTCATGAATAATTAAGAAGCAAGGTCTGCTCATAGGATAAGAAAACTCCACTATGAATAGTAATGAGAAACCGACGTGTCATCACTCCGCTAGCAGATTAACGCTACATCACCGATTTTGATGCGGCCCGAAAAAGGATTTTAAACCCGGAAGATGAAATTAACAAACAAAAGCTCAAAATGATGCATGTTTTCCCACAATTAAAGCTGACAGGTGCTAACATTGTCTTAACTGATACTCAACACACACGAATCTGTTAAATTCTCAACAAAAAAAACCTTTTGAACCTTTACGTTTAGCCTAGCGCACAATCAATATTTTTTAGGTGATGTTTATTTCAAATATTTTTGCAGCGCTTGCGACAACTAGAGCAAGGGCAGTGTGGCAGTATACTGAAAAATAAAACTATTTTGATGCTTTGAAGTGCACTTGAAGCCATTGCTAGTTACTGTAATAAATATGACAGACAAACAGAGGTGAAAAGGAGCTTGTTTATCATAGTAAACAGTCTAGAGGGGGTTCAGAAGAATGGAGGTCCATAGAAAGGTGGATTGTGTCCTGTTTTCTTGCCTTTATTATGACACTCGGAGCAGGAAAAGCGAACGGCACTGAAGATTTGAATCGGGTTCTGAAACAATAGGCAGGGAGAAAGTGATTGGCCTTTAAACACAGATCAGAGCTGAGGGTAATGGCTTGTTAAAGACTTGTGAAGGCATCTTGAAAAACAATAGAAGAGGTCAAAGCAGAGCTAAAGGAGATGGCTATAATGTACTACTTTTTCCAGTGAACTTTTTAAATTATTCCTTCAATTAAATAAATAAAAACAAATGATAGAGAGAGAAAAATACAAATATTTGAGTTAGCTAGTTCTCTTTCTCTTGTTCTAGCTAAAATTAAACAAATAAGACTTTCTCCTGAAGAAAAAATATTTTCAGACATGCTGTTTTGATGTTAAACATAATTTGGGATATATATATATATATATATATATATATATATATATATATATATATATATATATATATATATATATATATATATATATAAACAAATTCAAAGGGGGGCTAATAATTCTGACTTCAACTGTATGTATATATATATATATATATGTGTGTGTGTGTATATATGTATATATATATATATATATATATATATATATATATATATATATATATATATATATATATATATATATATATATATATATATATATATATATATATATATATATATATATATATATATATATATATATAGACGGAATCTGCAGATGTTTTTTGCTATTTCTGTGGAGAACTTTTGTAAAAATCTGCGGACATCTGCTAAATTATTTTGGGAGCATCTAAACTAAAATAAATAAATAAATAATATCTTTTTAACTTTTATTTAATGTTTGTGCAAATACAATTAGATTCACTTTATTTAGTAAATAAAGCAAGTCTCTCATAATATCTCTACTAAAAGACAGAAAATATTACTGTACAAACTGCATTGTACATCAATCAGATGAACATTTTCAACTGAATAAATATAGATTAACACACATTTACTCGAGTAAATAAACAGAATTAATGATGGGCTAAAAATCTGCGGAAAAGTCTGCAGAATTCTGCGCTTGCAGATTCCTTGTGGGCCTACATCATACAGTTACCAAACCAACCCTCTAACCAGTGTTGGGTGTAATTAGTTACTGTAATTAAATTACGTTTCCACTGAAAAAGTTAAGTAAGGGATTACTTTTCATTTTTAGGTCATTTAATTACTGTTGCTTTTTACTTGCTTAGATACTGCATACCAATTCAACAGGTCAGTATAAATCAATTCAGAAAAGCAGAGTAATTGTATTTTTGTTATCAAGACAAATGCATAAGCTTAAAAAACAAATTGAGATATTAGTTCATGTGAATATATGGTATAAATTGTGTGTGTATAATATTTTTATTTTATTTTATTCATCAGTATGGATACAAGTAGTTAATAATATACAATAAAAATTAATTGAGAAAATATTTGTATAAATGTGGTATAAATGGTGTGTACAATAATTTTATTTTTTATTTTACTTTATTTGATTTTTTTTTTATTAATTGGTGTGGATACTAGTAGTTTGTATTTTTGTTGTGAATGAAGCTTGTTGTCTGACCCATGAGCACATTTGCTTTTCTTAAAAAAATATATGTATACAATCTGTGATGTTTCAGAAGGGAGTTGTTTATTTTTTTCCCAGACACTTGACATCAGCTGTTTTGTCTCTGCTCTACAGGTATATCGCTGATCCCAGGAAGAAGATTCCTGTCACTGTGACGCCGCCGTTCCTCAGGCCAGACCTCTCTAACAGACACATCAGTGTAAAAGTCAGCGATAATGGTATCCATAGTAACATCCTACGAAGCAAAGTGAGTCCACGAAAGCTTTTAATTCTGTCTGCCCACATCCTGGAATTTCAATGGTGTTTAATCACCACTGTTATTGCAAGTACTAATGCTACAGCATCGATTCATACTGCCATTTATGTAGATTTCAGTGATAACTGGAACAATTACAATTAGGGATGTCAGTCGAATACATTTTTCACAATGTAGACATGCATTAAATATATTCCAGTGTTCATTTGACTTAGAAATGACTCCTAAATTCAATATTATGTTAAATGATTTAAAAGGTTGCTTTAGAAATAAGCATTTTGATTCAGCATAGACATATAAGGTTCTATCTGACATTTTTTTTTGTCAAAATTGAGTTATTTACATATTCTTATAAAAAAAAAAACATCACATAATGTAAACAAGATGTCATTTAATAAGTTGTTTACATTTTAAAACTTTTTATTTCAAAAAACTAAAAAGGTTTTATCTAAAAAGTCGAACCCTAGTTTGGCTCTATAAGGTTCTTTCTGTGTCATTTTGCCAGACCGCTCCATTGACAGCAGGAAAGACCAGAAAGAAATAAAAATAAAATCATTGATTAAATAATGTTGCGCTACTCAAAATTGAGACGAAACCTGAAAACGTGCGTCAATGTAATAATTTAGAAGCATTTTTTGACATGAAGATGAAATGTTACATTTTACATTGTTGAAAAAGAAACAGTTGTTAAAAAAGTAATATATTAAATGTAAAATATATTTTTGTTTGTGTATATATGGTCAGTGAAACATTTTTCAGTGTTTATTAAACACATTTGCACATTTGCTGTTTTCTTTAAATATTAAGCATTGAAGGGCAAAAACTTAATTTAATTAATGGGGCATAAAAATCGATAAATATAATTTAAATATTCATATAAAGCATAAAATGCAATAAACATAAATCAATAATTAATATAAAGCATAAAATTCAATAAATATGACCATATTAATTCCATAAAATTAACAGCTGCACTGGATAAATTATTTATCAAAGCCTTGTGTGCTAAATTTGAACAAGAACAAATATGCATCCTAAAACATTAATTAAATGTTATTAAAAGCAAAAATGTAACTTTCTCAAGCATCACCATATTGTTACAACATCTATTTATACTTTTGTGATTGTATTTGTTGAAAAGTAAAGCTTCAATTAATGATCTGCCAGATAGAGCCTTATAATTCCAAGCGGAAAATGACTTTTTAAGATTAGAAGGTTCTATTTGCATTTTGCGTTTTTGTTTTCAAATAAAAAAATAAGCAATTACAAGTGCTAAAAATAACAGCTGGATGTGCCAATTTTCTTCAGTTAAACAAAGACAAAACTGAAGTCCTCGCATTTGACAACAGAGATGAGGTTCTTAAGGTGAATGCAAACCATGGCTCTAGGGGTCAAACTAAAAAATCAAGGTCAAGAAACCTTGTGTGATTCTGGAGTCCGATATTGTTTCAGTAGTCACGTCAAAGCAGTAACTAAGGCCCGGTTTACACTAATATGTTTTAGTTTTAAAACACATAACTTATACTATGGTTATGCCTTCTATCTACCCTGCAAATTTCAAGCCCCGAAAAAAGAGTGTTTTGGAAATGCTGAAGAGGCCATTTTTGTTATAAACTCTGCTGCTGCTCTGTGTCAGTGTGAATGGGGGAAAACGGAGACATCTGAAAACGGAGGCGTGGCTGCAGACATTCACTACCTGATTGGGGCTTATTTTCAATATCAAGTAAAGTTCAGTCTTGCATCCTTTCCTTGTAAGTTCAGACTTTGCAAGTTTGATATGGAAAACAGACTCCCGAGGACACGTCGGGTAAATTTTCAAAGGGAACAGTGTACTTTATAACATCATTCACATCACACTGGCTACGTTGTTTCACTATCTAAACAATAAAATGAAAACCTGATTGAAGGAACTGCCTATTTTCATTTTGATATTAACTTAACAGACACTACAAATGTTAAGACATCATGTAGCTACATATTTATATGACTGTCATCATCACTGTATGCATATTTATAACAAAACGGAGCCTATAACATTGCTGCCTCCTTTCATTTTCATTGAAAAATATAAAACATACCCTCTCTTTTGCTGAAACCCAGTTTTAATAAACAATAATGGCATAATTTACATATATAATACATTAACTTATCTTTGCGCTCAGTTAAAACACGTTACCTGAAAGCAAGTAGTAGATTTAACAGATCAAAGAGTCGTTAGATATAGCCAAGACTATAGTGAGATGAGATCCAGCGGTAGGTCCTTGATGAACTGTCTGATGTGCGCTGCTCTCACCTGGGCAATTGTGCTTAATGCACCTGCTGACTGCCTAGAGCTCAGATCTCAGCATACGCTGTGATGCATGCCAGAGTGCGTGTAAGCACACGTCTTGCATTGTCTTGCCTAGTGAACACGCTGATGACATCACACTCCCTCGATTTCTAATTTGGTTTTATATAAAATAGGCAAGCATCAATGATGCTTTAACATGTTATGCATTTAATCAAGCTGCACAGAGCAGCGTTACAACAGAAACCTAAAATGTATTTAGTATGATAAAACAGCACTGCTTCTTCTCCACCTGATCACAACTAGATGAACTGGAAGTGGTGAACTGTGTCATAATAAAAGCTTTGCTGCTTTCATAGCGGGTCACACTCGTCTCTTATCAGCAATTGCTTCATCATTTTTGTTTCTCTTCGACTGCGCTCAGCCTTCATACTAACATGATGAAAAGTTTTAAATACTCCAGCTCATCCATAAACATGATTTTCTGCTGGAGTCCCATAGGATGTAATGAAGACCACAACTCCCATGATTCCCCACTTAGTCTTGTAGTCATCAATATAAGCCTTTGATTGTTGTAAATATGCACCCTCTAGTGGTATAAATTACAGTGGGCCTTTAATTCCTTAAAATTTGCCTTTAATCCTTTAAAATCACATAGTGTGCACATTCAATCGACAGCCCTAATCGAAATACACAGTATCTCTATTTTTTTTATAGGAACAGTTATAAAAAGTGTTGTGTCTGTAATTAATTCATGCATCCCAGAATCAGTCTTTTTTTTTAATCTTGTGCTTTAGTCCAAGACCAGTCTGAATGGCATGGATGATAAAAGCATTGATGCACAGCCACCTCTGCCACCCAAAGCCGATCGCTACAACCAGATCAAGAGTCAGCTGACCTCCAGTGAAGGTAAGTAGCACTATAAATCAACCGGTCACACTATGATAGTTCACCAAAAAATGTACTCACCTGTAAGTTGTTCTCATGCTTTATGCGTTTCTTTATTCTATTGAACAGAATAGGAGATATTTTGAAGAAATTTGAAAACCTGTAACCATTCAGGGCTCGCAAAATCTGGTAGCATGACATCCCGGGGCTATTGTTTTTTCAGTCGGGCTACCAAAATCTCCACCTGCCCGGTGGGCTATCACAGTGGAAGAAAAAATATACTTCAACACCTTTACATTCTCTTAAAAAGTGGATAAATATGTATGTGCTGTGCTGCTGATACGGCAGCTATAAATCCACTTGATAATAACCAATATAAAAAGCCAAACTATAAACAACTACCTCTGAAATAACATAACGTGGTGTTTCTATCAGTTTAATCACAAAAAAAAGATAAGTAAACATTGTTTCAGATTATTTAAAAAAATATATAAAAGCCTAAGATAAATAATAAATCTTTGATTTAAAAAAAATAACCAAATAGCCTATAATAAATGCCATTATATCTTTTTTTTATGTTTAATAAATTAGTTGTTTTGTTTTTAATTATATATGCATTTTCAGGCATGTATTTTCTATGTGGGCTACTTAAATTTGTGTTCGGGCTACCAAAAGCAGAGTGCCTGTTCAAAGGGCTACCAGGAGTTTCGATATTTTGCGAGCCAAGCCATTGACTGGAGTTCAGATGGAAAAACCTCCAAGTGTCAACTTAAGTTTCCTCCTAAAACGTGCATTTTTATTAGCCTCATATGTTTATTTTCAGCTATTTCATGTTAAAGGCAATAAAAATCACCTATTATTTGCCATAAAAGTTGTAATCCTAAACCTACACAGGAGCCTGAGAAAAATGCTCATTTTAGAAGAAATTCCCAGATGGCATCTGAACTATTCAAATACTGTGGAAGTGAATGGTTATAGGTTTGAACTAAAGAAGATTAACGATGACAGTTTAAATTTTAGGACGAACTATCCCTTTAATAATAATAAAAGGCTGCTTTACTACACATTAAATCTTAAGGCAGTCAGGACTGATACATGACAAAGGGTGTCTTCATGCCTTCCAGATTTGGTTTTATTAACCTGGTCAGAATAAACTGGGGCCTGTTTCATTACCGGAGGTTCAACCAACTCTAAGTTTAAACTTGAACTCTGAGTTGATTTACAGAGAGATTAAGGGTGCTTTCACATAAGCACTTTTGGTCCACACCCGGGTTTGTTTGACGTCATAGTACGGTACGTTTAGCTAGTGTGAACATGTCTTCTGAACTCGGGTGCACAACCATGAACCGTACCCGAGTCCGCCTGAAAGAGGTGGTCTGGGGTATGGTTCATGTGAACTTCTGATGTGAATGCAATCATACCAAATCACGGAAGTGAAGTGAACCGCCAACTGTACAACAAACTATCGTTTTCATAACGTTTGTTTGTGTTTGTGGGTTTCAAGTTTCGTACCTTGGTGACATGCGCGGGACTGAGCCAGAGCAAACACAGTATACACAGTGATGTCTGCTTGTCTCCTCCTTCTGAATGTTTATAACATTTTTGCGGTAGATGGACGCGAGTCGCTTTCTGTATGTCCAAAAGCTTCAGTAAAAGCAGAATGACCACGATGTGTGGACGTCTTTCCATTTCTGCGCTTGCTTTCGTGACCGTCACCTAGCAACGGCCGTAAACAAAACAGCAGCTCGATGACGCAATCGTACCAGGGTTCAGAAGAAAAAAAGACAGTGTGAACACAGACCAACCGAGGAGGTGGCAGGGGGAGACAATCGAACTTGGGTACGGTCCAGGCAAATGAACCAAGTGTGAAAGAACCCTAAATCTCAGTGATCTGAGTCAGGTCAATCAAATCTGAGTCGACTAATTCAGAGTTAAGCGTGCACACTGCAGCTATTAACTTCCATTTGACTTCCATATTAGGAAAAACAAATAAATAGTTCATATAGAAAAACCTCCAAGTAAGTTTTCTCCTAAACTGTGCATTTTTATTAGCATCCTATTTTTATTGTCAGTTTTTTAAAAGCAATGAAAATAACCTATTATTTGCAATAAAAATAATGTTAATAAACCTACACAAAGGAGTCTGAGGAAAAATGCTCCGTTTAGAAGACATTTTGCATTTGAACTGTTCAGTGAATGGTTACAGGTTTCCAGCTTTCTTCTAAATATCTTCCTTTGTGTTTTAAAGAAGAAAGAAACTCAAACATTTTTGAACTAAAGGAAGATTAATGATGGCAATTTTAATTTTAAGATAAACTATCCCTTTATTCAAAAATGTGCTGATTTACTACACATTAAATCTTAAGGGCATCAGGACAGATCCATGACTAAGGGTGTGTTCATGCATACCAGGTTTGGTTTTATTAACCTGGTCAGAGTAAACTGTTCAGTTTTGTTTGTTTGGCTCATTTGGAAAAGTCGTCAGCTCAGATTTATAGGTTTCTATCTGACATCTTTGTCAAAATTGAGTTATTCACATATTCTTCTTAAATGACAACTTATTTACATTATGGAATGTTGTTTAACAGAAGAATTTAAATAGATTTTAAACAAGTAATGGATAAGTAAATGACAGATTTTCATTTTTGGGTGTACTATCCGTTTAATAAAAGACTTAATTCTTCTGTTTATATGTAGGTTTAGTCCCCAAAAAAGACAAAGTAAGAACCAAACAAACCACAGTTAATAAATAAATAAATGAAATAGAATTACACGTGTGAACACACCCTTGTCTGTGTATTTAGTATATCTATATGTATTCAAACATATATTTTGGCTCGTGAGCTTTTGTTAATATTATGTTTATTGTCATTTAAAAAGCTCATTACAATAATAAAATGGATTAATCAGCCAACTTCCCAATGCACGAATAATTCTGCTTGATTTTTCGCTGTGTGTTTGTAGCGAGATGTCTTTTTCTTAACTGTGCTTCTGCTGCCCTCTGGTGTTGCATCATATTGCTGCATTGTTGAGTCATTCATTTTTTTTCCATTTGTTCCACATTATCTAGAGAGCTCGCTGTCCAGCAAACCCACCAATCCTTCAACTCCAGCCATGTTCAAATACAGACCTTCCTTCGGGACAATGCCTAAAGTGCACTATCATGCAACTGGAGAGAAGGTGGGAGCAATGGACTTACCCTGTTGTCTGAGAAAAAAAAACACAGTTTCATATACGAGTTCTATAGGAGAATAATATAATTATATTATATTATATTATGTTATATTATATTATATTATATTATATTATATTATATTATATTATATTATATTATATTATATTATATTATATTATAATAACACTACACTGCTGTAACAACACTACAAATATTACATTTAACTATTCTAAATATTTTATTTTAGTTGTTACAATGTTAAAATGTTTAAATAAACATTTTTAAAATATGTTTTAAGTCTTTTGTTTCATATAATTTTAAAAATTAAATAATATTAAAATTATGTTAAAATATAAAATTAAATAATTGTTGCATTTATTTATTTATTTTCACATATTTTAGAAAGTTATTACAACAAAGGCTTAATTTACAGCATGTGATCAAAAGGATTTCCATTTTTGTATTCAAAATAATTTTCAAATAATATATATATATATATATATATATATATATATATATATATATATATATATATATATATATATATATATATATATATATATATATATATATATATATATATATATATATATATATATGTGTCTAATTTACGATGAAATAACAGCAGCTGTGGTTGCCAGAACTTTTACTGTTAAAAATATGGTAGAAACTGTAAATTTATATATATTTTATTCTAACATATTTCATTAATTTATAGCATTATACACCAGTATTTTGAAGCATACAAATCTACACATCATACATTTATTTAGGCCTATTTAAAAAAAAAAAAAAAAATATATATATATATATATATATATATATATATATATATATATATATATATATATATATATATATATAGTAATGTCAACAAAAAGCATTTTTACAGTTTTTAAGTATTGAAATTAGTCATTTTTTATGGTGAAGGCTGCATTATGTTATTGTATTCAAATGTTATACATATTATGTGTTTACAGTTAAAGTCAGAATTATTAGCCCCCTGTTTTTCCCCAATTTCTGTTATACTGAGATATTTTTTTAACTTATTTCTAAACATAATAGTTTTAATAACTCATTTCTAATAACTGATTTATTTTATCTTTGCCATGATGACAGTAAATAATATTTGACTAGATATTTTTCAAGACACTTTTATACAGCTTAAAGTGACATTTAATGGCTTAATTAGGTTAACTAGGCAGGGTAGGGTAATTAGGCAAGTTATTGTATAACGATGGTTTGTTCTGTAGACTATTGAAAAAAAAATAGCTTAAAGGGGCTAATAATTTTGACCTTAAAATGGTGTTTAAAAAATTAAAAACTGCTTTTATTCTAGCCAAGATAAAACAAATAAGACTTTCTCCAGAAGAAAAAATGTTATCAGTCAAACTGTGAAAATGTCCTTGCTCTGGTAAACTATTTTGGAAATATAAAAATAAATAAATAAATTCAAAGGGGAGAATTAATAATTCTGACTTCAGCTACATATATTTAAATTTACTTTATATTTCTAAATATTTTTACTTTTTTACTTTTTATTTCAAATAATATCGTAAGATATTACTATCAACGATGTAATAAAATTAGTGCTGGGAAAAGATTATTTGTGGTAATCGCATCTAAAATAAAACTGTGTTTTGACATAATATATATATATTTTTTTTTTACAATACAGACAAGTATATCATGTTTAATCAAACTTTCATTTTGGATGCGATTAATGGCGATCAATTTTTGCTCAGCACTAAATATAATATAATATAATATAATATAATATAATATAATATAATATAATATAATATAATATAATATAATATAATATAATATAATATACATTCATTTTATTTTCGGCTTAGTCACTTTACTATTCTGGTGTCGCCACAGCAGAATAAACTGCCAACTTATCCAGCATACAGTATGTTTTACGCAGCGGATGCCCTTCCAGCTGCAACCCATCACTGCGAAGCATCCATCTGCACTCATTCATACACATACACGATGTACAATTTAGCTTACCCAATTCACCTATAGCACATGTCTTTGGACTTGAGGGGGAAACCTGAGCACCTGGAGGAAACCCACGCAAATATGGGGAGAACATGCAAACTCCACACAGAAATACCAACTGACCCAGTCGGGGCTCGAACCAGTGACCTTATTGCTGTGAGGCGATTGTGCTACCCACTGCGCCACCGTGCAGCCATAATATAATATAATATAATATAATATAATATAATATAATATAATATAATATAATATAATATAATATAATATAATATAATATAATATAATATAGTTTCATTTTTAAATTGTTTGATTTTTTTTTCTCAAACATTTCCTCTTTCCCTAGATTGTAATGTGCGAGAACGGTAACCCCTCTGCAGTTCTGGAAGAGAGATCTCACGACTACCGTTCGGAGCCCAATCTAGATCTCCCCGACTATCGGAGTGCTCCTCTCCACCGAACATACCAGTCGTCCCCTTTCCAGCTGGACTCCTTTAGCACCACGTCCCGCTCCTTTAGCCTCAAACAGGGAGTAAACCGAGCTGACTGCACACCACTAGGTGGCACCAAGCATGAAACCATCACATCCACCCCTCACAGAGGCGTCTTCTCTCCTGGGACGTTATCCGGCCGCAACAGCAGCCTCTCCTACGATAGCTTGCTAACCCCCAGCGTAGCGCCATCTATAGGCGAATGCGCTGCTCATCCGGGCGTCCCATCAATGGGGTTTCACTCACCATATTTACCCACTAAAATGTGCCATGTTCGTGGACCCGAACTTCAACGCCATGCTGGTCCACCATCCTACAGTCCCGTTCACATCGGCGCAATGTATGGACGCCAGTCCCCTCTTTCCAGAGAACGAGAACGCGACCCGTCACCGGTCCGCTACGACAACCTCTCCAAAACCATCATGGCCTCCATCCAAGAGAGGAAGGAGTTTGAGGAGAGGGAGAAACTAATGCATCGTCACGTTCAAGGCTATGCTAATGATTCAGGAGTCTTTGACACCGCGTATGGACTCCCACATGGGTATCCCGACGGTCCTAGAGGCCCCGCGTCTCGAGAGCCCACTCCCCCTGTGTGTGCTTCTAGGGATAACTTGATGGGATATCCTCCTCGGACCCCTGTTTTGCGCTCCTCTGCGTCATCGCTCGTCCGGGCGCCAAGGACTTCAACTACGTCCCTTCACACAGATGGAGGTGGCATGAACAGAACAGCTGAACTACAGTATCGCTCACCGGTGCACCAGTCGCATCAGTCGCCAACATCCGTGCCGCGCTCACCGTCGTACGCACACCAGAAAGTCGCCTTCATTAGCGCACTGGAGAGGGCAGATTCGCCACATCTGGGTACAAGGTATGACATGTAGCTTCTGCTTTTAGTAATGAAGTTGAGGAAGAGGTGGTGTATACTGGGTGAACGGGAGAAGATGTTTGTGGAAGGGACTTCTAAAAAGAGATTTAATTTGTTGCTGTTTTCTTTTTGTACTTTAAAGTGTGATTTCAGTCAATCATTACATTTCTGTTAATAATTACTTGTATTTGTGTTGTTCCAATCCACTGAGACCATTGTTCAGCTTCAGAACACAAATATTTTAGATGATATCTGAGAGCTCTCTCATCCTCCATAGACAACAAACGGATTCAACGGATTCAACTGTAATCAAAAGAATGTTGGTTGTGCACCAAAAAAGTTGTAAAAACAACTGTTCACCAATGTTTCTTTTCCTTCATGTAAAATCAATAGAGTCTGCAGTAGGGTTGTCACGATACAGGAATTCGATACCAATTGGTACTGACATTTTAAAAACATCCATTTCCCACAAATATTTAAGCATTGTGGAGCACAACCTTAAACAGCGCTGATTTGCCAGTGTGTTCATGTGCTCAACTGAAATAACTGAATGTGATTGGCTGTGAAGATCATCAGTTCACCGAACTCACCACTGTTTGTGTAATCACAGATACAGGGACATTGGAGCGTTTCAAAGTCACATGGATCAGCTGTGTTGTCTATAAGCTGATGTACGAGTGATCTGCTGATGATTGAAAGTGTCCCTGTATCTGTGATTACAGGCAGTAAACAGCAGCGAGTTTGGTGAACCATTGACCTTCACGGCCAATCACAGTCTTGTCTGTTGAGCATGTAAACATAATGGCAAATCAGTGCTGTTTAAGAACACGCTCAACAGCGCTTAAATATTCGTGGGAAATTAACATTTTTTAAACTTTAGTACCGATTGGTATCGAATTCCAGTATCGTGACAACTCTAGTCTGCAGCCCAACATGCATGCTTAGCATTGGCTGTAAAGATGCACCCTAATCTGACGCAGAAAACAGACAAACACAGTCATTTTTACAGGTTTTTTTTTTTTTTTTTTGTAACCTTGTATGATTACAGTTGAACCCCTGAAGCCACATGGAATTTTTTTGGCTCTTTTTCTGGACATCTTTAAACACCTTGGGCCCTCTGTTTGTATGTAGGATGAGAGAGCTCTCGGATTTCATCTACAATATCTTCATTTGCATTTTGAAGACGGTATCGAGGGATTGAAATGAGATGAGGATGAGTAATTAATAAGAAATTTTAATTTTTGGTTGAAATAACCCTTTAATAAATAAATTTTTGTCATTGTTATTTAGAATAAATACACTATAGGTTGTTTCAACTTAAATTTGGGTAAAATATGTGCAAACCAAGCCATTTGGTTAAAGTTGTTTTGTGTTAACTTATCGGTTGGGCTTGTCTATATTTCAACCAAATTAGAGGGCAAGTTTTTGGTTTGCCTTATTGCAGAGAAAGAACAAAAATTTATATGATTGTGTATTTCTTAGCAAAATAAATGTCTTTTTGGCTTTTCCAGTCTTCATTTTTAATTTATGCATGCTTGTTTATTCATATTCATGAGCTTATGACACATTTAGCATGTCATCAAACTTCATGCATACTTTACATTTTGTTTTTCTATGATAACAGTGTTTCTCTGTAAGAAATTTGTGTATTATACAGTACAGAATTAAGATTTGATGCGCATGTTTTATGTGTTTTGTTGTGTTTGTGTTGCTTCTTGTGCATTATTAATGATTTTTTTAATCACTACTATGCTACAAGTGTATTTCCCATGCTAATTTCTTTGATCTGATTTCGTTCTTATTTATTTTACCAAGTTGCTAAAATCAGACTGCATGATTTTATGTGTCTTCTTTAATGTGATGATTTATTACAGGACTTAACAGTAAGGATTTTCCCCAGGCAGTGTTTTTAGATCCCACTAAAGTAATGATTTAAAAATAAAATCATAAAATATAAAAAAGTAATAGTAATTATAAAAATAGTAATATTTCACATTGTCATTATGGGGTATTATGTGTAGAATTTTAAGGGAAAAAATCTATTTAATCAATTTTGGAATAAGGCTGTAAAATTTAAAAAATGTGGAAAAGCGCTATGAATATTTTCCGCATGCACTATTTTTTTTTATTTTTTTTGTGATTTTTATTTTTATTTTTGCATAGGCCTATTTTATAATTGTATAAAATAAAGTTACATTTTAAGTTAGTATATTTAAATTTAAATAAATAAAATGTCACTGGAACATTATTTTACTCATATTTTAAAAAGTTGTAGTAAACACTTTGACTCCAAAATGTGACAGCTTGTCTTTGACCTATAATGATATATTCAACAAATATGCCAACAGGCCTTAAACTTTTTTTTAACACTAACCTTACTTTTGAGTCCTGAATTGTTAATCCCTTCTGACCCTCTTCAAGACTGTCCTCTTCCTTCCTGAACTGTCATTTTTAACATCTCAGTCCATTACACATTACAATCTGAAGGACACAAGAACAGAACCGGAAAACCATCCACCTCAAACATGTCTTCCTGTTTTTCTTCACCTAGAGAGGACATTGGTCAAGGCAAAGTCAACGGTCAACTAAAGGGTCAGTATGGGACTCCTTCTGGAACGCCTAGCAGACACACCAGTGTTAAGAAGGTGACCGGAGTGGGCGGAACCACATATGAGATCTCCGTGTGACTGACAGCTCGGGGAGCCAATGCCTGTGAGGAACAGCACTGCCATGGCAAAACCAACTCGTGCTCAAAAAAAAAAAAAAAAGAACAAGTTTCTCTTTCTTTTCACAGTTTTATTAAATAATTCTCGAACTGAGCGATCGGGAAACACACAGTATCTGATGGGAGAATAAAAAAATGGCAAGCAGTTTTCAATGTGACGGTGTTAAAATATACAGGAGCATCGTTTGATTTAATCTTCAGAGGAAATAAATCGAACACAACGGGAAACAAATGGGAATTTCTTATTATTATAATGTATTTACCATTAAGGGCTGAGTATGTACAGTGTCGGTTCAGTTGTTTGTATATAAAAGGTCACTTATTGAACGCAAGCGCGCTCTGTATGCTGATCAATCACACACTTGAATGTGAGTGAATATATGTACTCCATTACTACTATATTTTTATCATTGTTCTGATCTAATAATCAGGGTTTCATCTCAAATGCATTGCTCTGTTAAGCTATCAGGTTCCAAACAAACCACAACAGCACTTGTGTACTTAAGAAAAGAAAAAGAAATTAAGTTTTATTTTTCAAATATGGAGGTCATTTACAATTTTTTCTAACTATATAAGCTGCCATAAAAATGAACGTACATGTGTATGTGTAATATTTAAAATGAAAAGGGGTATAAAGTTGGATACTGGCTCTTATAACCAACTTTCTTTTAAACATTTGTTTTTCTTCATACATTATAATGAATAAGATATGAATATGTAAACAGAAACACACCACTGTGTATTAGCAGGACCTGTTAAAGCCATATCCTACAATGTTTTACAATAATACTTATTTTATTTTATTTTTTTAAGTCATATTGGTGTTTTTTTATACCGTTACTACCATTTAATTGGTTAAAAAAGAAAAACATGAATATTCATGGTGGCATCACAAATGTTTTTCCTTTTTTTAATATCTTGTGTTTCTTTTTTTAATCCCAACTTTCAGTAATTTAGTATATTTCCCTTTTTATACATATTCAAATGTGTGAGTGTATTTTTGAGTGAATTTCTTTTATATAATTTATTTCTTCAATTAGGATCACCATTTTGGTAAGTTGGAAGTACTTTGTGATTTGTTTTTTCAATGAATGAATGAATGAACGAGAATTAAAACCTACGTATAAGAAGTTTTAGAAAAATTTGTTTAAGAAAGTTACACATATCTGAATGCTGGATCCATTTAAGAGAGATAAGGCCTGAAAATCTGTCATAATTATACTTGGCTTATGGTCTCTATGTACTGCCGTTCAAAGGTTTAGGACCAGTAAGAAATTTCTTTATTCTTTACTTAGATTATTATTATTATTTTTTTTTAAATAAATAAATGGTAAAATATGTAAGGTGACATGGTGGCTTAGTGGTTAGCACTGTTGCCTCACAGCAAGAAGGCCGCTGGTTCGAGTACAGACTGAGCCAGTTGGCGTTTCTGCATGGAGTTTGCATGTTCTCCCTGGGTTTCCTCTGGGTGCTCGTTTTCCCCCACAGTCCAAAGACATGTGCTATATAAATTGAATAAACTAAATTGGCCGTAGTGTACGTGTGTGAATGAGTGTGTATGGATGTTTCCCAGTACTGGGTTGCAGCTGGAAGGGCATCCGCTGTGTAAAACATGCTGGAATAGTTGGTGGTTCATTACGCTTTGGTGACCCTTGATGAATAAAGGGACTAAGCTGAAGGAAAATTAATAAATTAATGAAAAATTTAATAATATGCTATTTTAAATTGTAATGAAATGTGGGTCAAAGAAAACGAGGCGGGACGGGGTTGTGTTCAAGTATCGAAATATAATACAGCTCAAAATTTTTCCTCCTCAGCATTTTTAAAATGTAGTCAATATCAAAATCAATTTCTTATTGTGTCCATTAACTCAATTCTGGAACACCCAACATGCCTTTGTGATAAATGTTGGTTAAGGAAGTTTAATCTGGAAAAGCTTCCACCTCACCAACACTTCTCACTTTCAAAATGATAGTCTTTTTATTCTATAAAGAGTGCAAAATACAAATAAAATCTAATACCAAACAGACATGTGTGTTGTATTCGTACAGTTATCACTCAAACAAATGTTTATGTATAGATCTAGAAAAGATATAAATAAAGGTTACGTTTTGAATGAGATTAAGATAAAAAAAAAATTAAGTTTTTCACAAATATGATCAAGCTATTTTACATAATATATCTATACTTCTCATGTTTACCTTTTTTATTGAACAAGAAAAACATACAGTGCTCAGCATATATTATTACACCCACTCACAAATTTATCTTTTAAAATCATATTTTTTTAATAGGAAGCTATACAATGCTCTATTTGTTTATACATTAGTCAGTACTGAAGACAAATATGCAGCTTATATAATAAACTTATTATAATGGTCCAATAACTAGAACCAAATTTATATGTTATAGAAAAATATTAAATACAAATTTATAAAAGAGGAAATATCAAGAGAAGCAAAAAAAAAATTTTTTTTAGTTGAAATATTGTAGTTTGTAATTTATTTTTGCAATATTTTGCTTGAATTTAAATGCATTATCTTTCAATTTCTAAATATGTTTGGTGACTAAAATATTACTTTAATAAATATATCTGTTTATTAAATCTGTTTTGTTTAAATGAACCAAAATACATTGACTGCATTGACTGAGAAATGGATAAAAATATTCATTTTTAAAATGGTTGTACTCAATTACGCTGAGCACTATACCTTGAAAATCGTCACTGGAAGTATAATGCTGACAAAACAAATAAAGAGAAGGGAATTTATTAAACTGAGAAATCTGTTGTAATTGTAAGTTTTTGTTTTTTTCTCAGAAACAAAATGGCGAATTCATATATAGGCTAGGTGTAGCCTACCTGTTGGTGGCAAAATATCACACTGTGGCCTGTTTCATGATTAAATAGCGTTTTTAATCATAATTTTTGTAGTTATGTGTTGATGTTATCGACATTTTGACAGAAAATGCACCGCTCCTGGAGTTTTCTGCTGCTCATCGGATGACTTTCCAAGGAATTCATATAGTGATTTCCTCACAGGTCAGCCTTAAGGGGTCTCTATATACAACAAACATCATACTGGTGCATGTGAAGAGAGTCTCTGTTGTTCTTTCTCCAGTCAAACATCTCCCTGAAGTTGTAAATAATTCATGTGGTCGTGGGGGAAAGGGCCTTTACAGTTTTCGGGTCTCCATTTCTGTGAATGTCTCACTGTGTTTGGTCAGCTCTCTCCTTCACTGCCGCTGTCTGGCACAGCGCCACCTTCTGTTCAGAAGAAACACGTGTACAGTTGAAGAAAATAAGGTGATGATTTCCGTGATGAAGTATTTCGTTCTAATGAAATAAAGACATTATAGTTTCATATCAAGGTACATCGATTATTTTTGTTCATTAAGAGGGGAAATGAATAAATATAAGTTGAACATTCCTTTTGGCTTTATCGATTATTTCTGTTGAAAATAGATGGATGGATGGATGGATGGATGGATGGATGGATGGATGGATGGATGGATGGATAGATAGATAGATAGATAGATAGATAGATAGATAGATAGATAGATAGATAGATAGATAGATAGATAGATAGATTCAATTCAATTTAATTCTATTCTATTCATCTTTATTTCTATAGCACTATTACAATATAGATTGTGTCAAAGCAGTTCCACAAGTCTTAAAACCAAGCAAGTGATGAGGAACAAAACTTCACCAATTGATGAAAGTGAAGGAAAAAAGTAGAGAGAAAGCAGGCTCGATAGGCACGAACATTTCTCCTGTGGCCAAACTTCTTGTGCAGAGCTGCAGTCTAGGCGCCAGATGCTGGAGAACGCTGGACATCCATCGTGGAGAAGCTGCAGGTGTGAGTAGGTCATCAGCTGGTGTTCAGACAGGCCCACAGGATCAATGCAGACTCATTTGCTTCTGGGGTATTTCAGAAATCAGTTTCATGCTCTCAACTCCTCCATAACCACCACAGCAGCTGCTCAGGAATTGGCCTGGTCCAGAATTCTGGAGAGCTCGGGATAAGGAAAACTAGACTAACAATCAGGCTAAAGATAGATGCAAGGGCCACTGGGGGACATCATTCTGTTTTGTCAAAAAAATAAAAGTTACCTAAATGAAAATAAAATCTTTCATTTTAGGATGTAGATTAAAGGTAATTCCTCTCCCTAAAGCATTGTGCAGCTGTATTAAGTGTTCCCATTCTCTCCCCCTCCCCCTCTCTCTCTCTCTCTCTCTCTCTCTCTCTTCTGTTTGCTAGGTGATCTAGAAAGGAAGTTTTTGAAATGTAAATATTTGTAGTCTCATATTTTGAGACAATTGGAAAAAGAGAAAGCTTATCATAAAATCAGGCTGCTTTGAGGATATCAAATATGTGACACGAAATGGAATAGCCTGTTTTATGATAACTGAAGATTTGGCTCCTTCTTTGAGTTACTTTTATGAAAGTTCTATTCTGAAACTCTGGACACTTACAGTTGAGAACACTGCATTATTTACTGGCTGCTGATATGATTGTTTCCTAATTTAATACATATATTTGATCCTTTTGCAATTTCTATTCTGTTACAGAGACTGTTTTTCAACATTCCATATTGATAAAATTGTTTGCTTTGATGGAAAGAATAATTGGAAACCTGGGTTTAATTTTTAATAGGGTGATTTTCATTTATGGGTGTAAATATTTTGAAAAACACAGAGAGAGAGAGAGAGAGAGAGAGAGAGAGAGAGAGAGAGAAAGAGAGAGAGAGAGAGAGAGAAAGAGAGAGAGAGAGAAAGAGAGAGAGAGAGAGAGAGAGAGAGAGAGAGAGAAAGAGAGAGAGAGAGAGAGAGAGAGAGAGAGGTTTATCTTGGCAAATTTTGCAGTTGGAAAGCAAAACTAGCAATTTGGGAAAACTCACAGATTGATTTTTTTTCTTGGTTAAATCCGGGATTAGAATATGCCTACACATCTGATCAACTCACAGGGAATTTACTTGAATGTAAATGCTCTGTGAAAAAAACAGCTTTATGTAGCCTATGACGGACTAAAGAGGATATGCTTATATGAGAGGATATGGTGATTGGATATTTGTGTGATATTTTGTGAATTCCTTCATTTTTCTTCGGCTTAGTCCCTTTATTCATCAGGGGTCGCCAAAGCAGAATAAACAACCAACTTATCCACCATGTTTTACACAGTGGATGCACTGCAACCCAGCACTGGGAAACATCCATACACACTCATACACTACAGCCTATTTAGTTTATTCAATTAATCTATAGCACAGGTCTTTTGACTGTGGGAAACCTTGCCAATACGTAGAGAACATGCAAACTTCACACACAAAAATGCCAACTGGCCAAGCCGGGACTCAAACCAGCGACCTTCTTGCTGTGAGGCGACTGTGCTAACCACTGAACCACCGTGTTGCCTATTTGTGAATTTTATTTACTTTTTCCTTTTGAGATTGTAATGTAAATTAAAAGGGTTTAAAGTCAAAACGATCATTCTCCCACACACACAAATACGCACCCACACAACTCTCCGTCTCTCTGACTCATTGAGCTGCGCGGCAGTCGTGAACGCGCACCGCCAGACCTCCGCTGTTGTGCTGCGTGTCCACGCTTTATGAAGGCGCGCCCCCGCGCTACCTCAGGTGAATGGAGAGAGTGGAGCTCTGTGTGCGTCTCCGGCCGAGCTCGAGTGACTAAAATGGGGCTTCGCGGACTGAGCAGGACTGGGGTGTACATGACAGTATGCCTTCTCTGGGTGACTGGATGCTTTACGCAAAAAGTGAGTTCAAGTGTTTGGCAATAGCCCACTTTCCCTTTTGTTTGTCTGCAGTTTGCTTCGGCTTGTCAAAATGTTTACAACGGGGATTATATCTAGTATACAGTGTGTAGTACACTGTGAGGAGTCTGCAGTGGTGAACACTATTTATCACAAAATATTGCTTTTTCTGAAGGGGGTTTATTGCGGTGGTTTGGGGAAGGTGTTGTGATAAAATGTGGAGCAGCTTGTTGTGTGGTCCGGGTCGGTTCTGGCAGAGAGTTCGGCTTAGAGGGGTCAGTTCAGCACGGGCCAGCGGTTCCGCATCCGATGGTTCCGCGACGTTTATTTACAAATAGCAGACTTTATTTACAAATAATAATGTGCATAAAAATAGCTAATGAATAAATAAAAAATGTAACTAATTTGTGGAGAAATTGAGTAAAACTAATTTGTAGATCAACTGTGATTTGCTCCTTTTGTCCAGATCTATAAAGTAATTTAGAAATGCATCGAAATTAATTGGCTGCTCTATTTAATAAAAGTTTATTTTTATTTTTATATAATTTCTTTATTGTTATCATTTAAAGAGATGCAATAAACTAATCTGTTTCGTTACTAATAATTTAATTGAAGTGATTGAAACAGTAAAAAAATCTAATCTCTGCACTGCACAACCCAACAGTACACTTTATCAAACGAAATGAGTGTAGTTTACTCAAAATTTACTGAAAGTTAGCTCTACTCATTTGAAAAGAGTTTGAACTCCGTGTTGGTAATGAGTGAAATGCCTCATTACTTCAACTTAAATGGAGTAAGTTCACAGTACTCATATAGATTAGTTTTTTAACTTAAATGGTTTGTAGCAATCGGTTTCCTCAAACGGTTTGAGTTACCTTAGCCTATTAGGTTGGTTTGAGTTCTCTTCATTTATTGGTTTTTACTGTGCTCAAATTGCTTCGTTTACTCAAATGGATTAAGTTCACAGTACTCATTTGGATTCGTTTTTAAACTTAAATGGTTTGTTGCAATCAGTTTACTCAAATGGTTTGAGTTATCTTAACTTTTTGTGTGGTGTCTGATTCTGAACTTGAATTTTTAAAGGTTTTCCATTTGCTCTTAACAAAGACTGAAGCTTCATATGCAGCTATTGCTGTTTTTTAATCTGTTTTTTTTTTAAATATTTTTATTTTGTCATCTTTGTATCATCTTTCTATATATTTTTAAGTAGATGCTGCATTTTATCAGTGAAAGTAATTTCTCTTTAAAGAGGATAGACATTGCTCATTAATTTTTCACAAACATCGCAGTATGAATTACAGTGTTTTAGTACATTTTCAAGCTGTGTGTTTATTATGAAGGGTAGTATATGCAGTTAAGTTTACCAAGAAGTTATTACTCATGAAAACTTTTAAACAAGCTTGTTTTGTATTTGTATTTTTTAAAATCACACTAAGGCAAGTTTTTACAAACTTTTTTCATTTTGGAAACCTGTCTGCATCATTCTTAATTGTCTACACCGTTACTTTATGCATTGAATCTTCTCATTGTCACAATATGCAGTTTTACTTGTGGAATAATTGAGATTTTAGTGTACAGAACTACAGGATCTTTGGTATTGCACTTTTCTTTTTAAATACATTTTCACCTCAGCTCCTTTGCATACTCTGTCAGCTCTAATCATGGAAGCTGTTCACTGCTGATGTTGCGTTTCACATGCAAGGATATGAGTTTGGGAAATATGTGTTGAGGAGAAGCTTAGTGTTTTTGAGGTGATTATCAGATTCCTGTGGAAACCGTGCTCCACTCATGCAATTAAACACATTGCTCTGTGGTCATTTCCACATGCTGCCTTTCACCAATTATTCCATTTCCAGCCATGGATATGATTTATTGATACTTGTAGTGCAGAGAAATGTTTTATGCTTAGATGCATAGAAATAGAACCATAATGAGCTAATTTGAACCATAAAATAAAATAGTATTTTTCCTCTCAAAAAACGAATGTGTATTTATTTCTTCTGAGGCGACAAAAGTGTATATTTGTTTAGTTTGTGTAAGGAAAGTCGACATTAGAGAGTCAGAATTCTTTAAAATCTCTTTTGTTTCACCAAAGAAAAAAGTATACACATTTTGTTGTGTGGTGAATAAAAGATATTAAAATGAGTTCTTTAAAGGTGGGATGAAAATACTGTCATATTATACAGCACTTCCTTGAAGCTAGAGACATCTGAATCCATTAAATTTTTTCCCCAAATTCCACTTTTCCCCATTTCATTTGTTCTGGATTCTGATTCAGCTGAAAAGAAAATCAATTTAACAGCAATTCATGAAGAGTTTAATTAAAGTGTAAAGCTGGATTTCTACTTTTGCCTGGCGCCGCATCATGCACCTTCATTGACTGCGCGCTCACCTTGCGAAATGGACGAGGCTTTTATACTTGCCACGTTCACCGTTGTGATTTCCTTTAAAACGACAGGGGGCGGTCAAAAGAAACTGACCGTAAAGTCAGACGGACAAACAGAGACGTTAAAAGTTTCCGGAATAACGTCACTAATATCGTTCAAGATTTTTAAACTAATTATTTTTATTATTTTTAGAAATTATTTAAATGATTATAACAATTTTTATAACCATTCAAGATTTTTTTTAATCAAACTTTTTTAATTAAAAAAAAAGTTCATTTAATCACTTGCTTTTGTTCATATCTCAGACTGTTTAACCTATTAAAGTTTATTAAAATATTAATGACAAGAGAACATGGGCTGCTCTACAAATAGATTTTTTTTATTATGGCAAGAATAAAAGCAAATAAAAAAATTAAAAAAACACTCACTAAAAAATACAGATGCTTTTTTTTTTAAGATTTAGCCTGCTCCACAATTCACACATTTCTGTCTGGCTAGTTTCTGTCCTATACTTATGCTGAAAAGGCAATACTGGTGATCTAAAAAATCAGAGAATTTACAGTAGACAACCTACTTTGTACACAGCAAAATATGGGGACCCAAAACAACTCTATGGGTGTTAATTTCAACACTTTGAAAGTGTCTCATGGGGTCCACTCAAAACAGAGTTAAATCAACACTTTCAAAAGGGTTGGCACATTGACACCGAAGAAAGGGTCAATTTTAACTCTGGGCAGAGTTAAAAAATGTAACTATATTTAACACCGCCTGGTGTAATATATTGTTATTTTATTCAACTCTCTTGAGTGTAAATATGGTAAAAAGGCAAAATAGACTGTAAATTACAAAAGAAAAAACATTTTATTTGAAAACATTCACCACTTCTACAATTCATTCAGTTTTTAAAATGCAACAATGTCAAATATGCTTTAAATGTTTTATTAGTACAGACAGTATCAACAAAATATGTATGACCAGTGCTCAAAAAGGCTGTTTCAGTCCTTTGGTCCAAACTTGATGTGTTATCAGAGCAATTTGAAAGTTCAATATAGCGTCACTCATAGTTTTCTTCTGAACTCATAGTTTTCTTGTGAAATTACATTTTAAACAACTTGGCGTGCAAATCTTTCACTTCGAGTGTTTCCTTGGTCCTCCATATCAAACACAGCAGTTTAAATGAAGGTATAAATGCTGTAAACTTGTGTGAAAACAAACTGGAGCAAGGAAATCTCATCAAGCATGTCCTGTGAATGAAGTGCTTCCCAGCCACAGGATGACCTTTTTATCCATGACGATGTAGCAGCTGCTGATCGCTTGTCTGGTGGTTCCTGATGCACGGACATAGGGTGATGCTCATCTAAGAACTTTTCAAGACTCCAGCTTGAAAAGAAAAATGTTTGAAAACAAATTGCAATCAAATTCTATGATATATTTAAAAGAACATTTAAAGTAAATAAAACATTCAAGAAATCTAAACTCACCTTTTGAAAATCTTCATGATGATCCAGCTGGTTGAGGTGACAGGATATGGAAAAGTAGAAAAAACACATACATCACTGTTGGAATCTCCAAAAACAATTAGGTTAACCACTATGACTAGAACTGGAAAAACAGGCAGCTGTCTGTCCAGAATCCTGAATTTAACACAACACTTGGAGCAAAATTTAGAGGAGCTTAAAATCTTTTATATCATTTAGTGATGCTGACTTCCCCAAAATATTGGCCACAGTGTAAAAAATATTCATAAACTTACAGTTTTCTGTAAGCGTGTGCGTGCGTGCGCGCGTGCGTGCATGTTTCTTTACCAGATTCAACTTGTTAGGCCCTTTCAGGTCCAGTATTGACGCCACCTTTACTGGAGTCAAGCAGATGTTTCAGGTCCAAATATAATCTAAAATATTAGGATAAGCAGAAGAAGAAAAGGTTCAAAGCAAAGAGCAAAACATTATTTAAGTAACAGTTCACCCACAATACAAAACTTATCACCTTCATGTCATTCATTATTCTTTAATGCTCTAATACCCTCTCAGCTTATTGTGAAACAAATACAGAACTTTATCAAACATACCTTCATTATTATCACCACATATGACCAAGAAGGTGTGCTTGGTCATTTCACCAACTCTGGAAATACACCATCCGTCTCTAATCAGCCACCGTCACAGGGTCTTGTGTTATTGTATAGAGAACTGTGGCTGTTAAAAAACAACAAAAAACTAGTATCTAACACATATGCATAACCTTCAGATAAAAAGGAGAGATGAACATCACAAAGTATGCCTCACATTTTTTTCAGATATCTTTTGACTCAGATGTTGATTATTGATAATAAATCTACAAATCAAACCTGTACCATCATTAGGCTGCTCAAATATGAATCAGTTGATCAATTTTACAGACAGGTGGCTGTTTACAACGCACTAAATTGTCTTTAATAAAAAGGAAATGTTGTGTACAGTACATGCTAAGTTTAGCCTATAGTTTTAAGCACAATATCATGCGGGAGAAAAAGCTTGACTAAGATGTTCCTGGCTACATAAATAGCCTAACTTACTAACGTCAGACATCCCGAGTTGGGAAAAGTAATTTTCGGGGGATACAGAGTTGATTTGCGGG